TACATAACTGGTTAGGATATCCGATCTAAAGAATAAAAGGCATATGCCTAACCTCATAGATCGATTTTGCAGATTTAACAAAGGCCCGCCAAGCACGCCTTCTATCTTCATTAGTCCTCGACATTCTCAAAGCATCCTGCGGTAGAGCCGCATCCATATCGAGTAGATTAACCTTGAGAGACCTCAAAATTTCACACGCTCTGCCCACTAACGGTCTTAACGAAGATTCACAAATTATGCTGCTTTTCGATATCTGGATAAGTGTGCTCCTGTCCTTCAATGTACCACACTTAGGTCTCTCGACATTTGTTCCCTCCTCAGCCAAGCTATTATTATTCTCAGCACCTCTCGACAATCTGTTGTCCTTTGTGGCAACCACGACACTCGGCTCGTTACTCGAGCTCATCTGCTGTTTGGTTTTCGAATCCGGAGACAAATCGCTTGAACCAGCCTCGTTTAGCCTTGTGGGACCCAATGTCAATGCAGGATCACTAAAATAAGGGGACTCACTCGGCAAAAATGATGGAACACCACCATTGCCGATAAGTCCTATTTCGTTGACTGCATCTTTGACCGTGCCTGGAACAACAAACCTGGTCAAAATCTCCTCGAGATTAAACGGGCAGTCGCCAAAGTATGGTTCAGAGAAACTCGGCCCAGTAGTTTGTTTCTCACTCGTCGATATCTGCAGAATGCCTTTTTCCTGTGAAGCGAAAGCTTTCATCTTCTTGCACTTCAAGGCATCTTCAGTTATCGGGCTTTTCTGATAGACTGCTGCACCGTGTTCCTTGACATGTTCTGCTAGTTCTTCGGAGGTAAGAAAAGTGTTGTGACAAGACGAGCAATGGGGTTTAGACAGCCACAACAGCTCCAGGCACTCACATCTATGTATGCTGCCAACTGTACCAAATCTCTGTTCCAATGTCGTAATGGCCTTGGACGTAAAAAAATCAGATGAAAAAGCTTTCTCCTCCCCATTCTCGCTCAGTGATACTTTGCTTAAAATGTGGTTCGCAGTATACTCGTGGGAGTCTCCCAGTTTGTTGCTTTGCATCTGTAAGATAGACTCTCGTAATTCTTTCTCCCGGATATTATCGTCTCTCAGCCATCCAACTAGTTTCTCGATTTCATCGTCCGAGTCGTAATACATCCACTTGTCGGAATCGGGAATGCTGGTAAATTCTTCGATAGATCTCTCCTTTGACGAAAAATCTCCACAGGCTACTATCCATGGACGAGCACCCGGAGAATAAAATGCCCAATAAACTCTGCCGCTAGAATCCCGTCCCAATAAATCCTTGCGGATGCCTACCTTGAGAAGTTCGGATTCTACAGAAGCTATCGAGTCCTGAAGGTTAGATATGTCTTTCTTAATGGCGTCCACCTTGAGGCTGTCGTCTTTCGACGAGGGCAAATCGGCTTTGTCATGACAATGATGGCCGCCAGGTGGCGGCATCTGAATGGATAACTGCTGTGCATGGAGCAAGACATTCTCACTTTGGCCGGAGTTTTCATCGGAGCTTATGCTCCTATCAGGCTGTTTGTTACAATCGATAGGTTCACTTGAGGATGGGATGTGGTCCGGTTGAGTCGAACCATGCAAAAGGTTAGTGTCCTTTTCAGGTTGTTTTCCTCTTGAGCTATCTTCAGAGGAAAGCAGAGATGGTGATGTACCGGGATTTGTTTTGCCTACTAAGGCTGGAGCAAGAACTTCTTCCCTGAATTTCAGGAGTTTCAATTCGGAAGTGAGACAGCGTAGCTTCTGTTGCAAATCAGCAGCTCGAGAGGCTGATTGCTCCATGTGGTCACAAACGGTGGCCGAATTTAATGTGTCATCGAATAAGAACTTCAAGAAGAATGTTCTCTGCAATAAGGCCAGCAGCAGAGGTATCAAACAAAAGATGAAGACATAAATTACATGCAATAAATCATGTGATCACACACACAAACACACACACACAGGGATTATACTAATTATTACAGGATAACCTCCCGATTAATTAGAAAATCAACTCGATGTTTGACTGAATTGCAAAAAGAACCCCTAATCTTTAGATCTACTTATCTTTCACAAATTGTGTCTTTTCAAGGGGAGAACTGTTGGGTAAAAATTTAACCTCAAAGTGATGTTTTGAACACTTGACGAGATGCTATTCACAATTCCGAACGATAAGTGGAGTTATCTGTAATTATAAGTCAGAGCTAGTTTCTCTATTTATAACACATACTTTTCCATATTCCTCCCATGACTCTACACAATATGAAGAAACACAAGATGCAAATACTCACCTCCTCAACTGTGAATTCCCAATATTCTTTTACTTCCATCAGTTTTGCTAGCCGAGCCAGTTCTTCCAGAAACTTTCGCGTGAACTCCCCCTGATACTTCTTTTTCCTACTTTGATTAGCGTACACAGCAGTGCAAGTAATAGACTGGCCAGCAACACAGGACGGGCAATACCAGTTTCCTTCTGGAATTCTGACAAGTGGAGGATTCAAGCAGTACCTGTGATACTCGGAATCACACTTATCACACAACAGGACATTGTCATCATCTTTGTCCATACCACACACCTTACAGATTCCCTCCTCCCAAGGAGCTCTAGGGATGGAGGTATTACATAACTGAACGAGCAAATCATCCCTTTCTTTTATAGCATCAGCACCTGAGTCGTTCGCGTTTGAACTATTGGCAATTTTGTGGATGAAGGTCAGAACCTGACGGAAGGTCCAACAGAAAAGCATACTTATTGACCTAAATATAGGTTTAAGACTGAGCTAGTACAACTAAGTATCTGATTAAGTAATTATATATAAATGATATCTCAAAAGTCAAGGCTCAAAGTTCCAGCACGAGGGGCTGAAGATAAACTGTAAGAAACAAATGGAGAACTGCCAATAGAATTTGGCAAATGAAAGTTCGACCACCAATCTGCACTTTAATAACAAGTATGCTTTATATAGTTAAAAATAAAAAATAAAAAAAAAGAGCAATTTTGCAAGTTCAAGTATATAGCAAACAGAAGTAGGAATAACCTTCCCATGCGACCTTGTTTTAAATGAAACCAAGCCTAAACTTATCAACAAAAATGTACAATAAAATAGCGATCATGCATCAATAAGATTATCACAGAACCCTCATAATACACGAGAAATAACGAAAGTTTACCTCTTTCTCATATAGATCTTCAAACTTTTTAGACAGGCTTTCTGCTACGTCAACTAAGTCAGACCTGTCTCCGTATGCATTGCGTATATTGCGCCAAACCTACAGAACATGCGGCAGAAACCAGACATTTCATGGTTATGTGGCAAGATGAAAGTAATTTCATATCATTTGAGGCCAATCTATATAGGTACATTGGACGATATTTGAATTATAGGAAAAAAGGAAAAAGGATGGTGCATGAATAAGGAAAGATAGAAAAAAGACACGACATTTCACATTTAAGTATGTCATTTTGTACCATCTGAGATATTTTGGGCTTTGGATGAAAAATAGTTTGGAATAATTCAGAGTGGAATTAGGCAAGGTAAAAAAATGATTTACGAAAGGATGTCTGCAGCCAAAATAAATGAAAACCATATAAACATCTTCCTAAGCCTTAACACCACTTCAAACATACTTGAAGCAGTATAGCATACCTCCCTAACATCGTCAACAAAAGCTTCATGTGATCCACCATAAACCCCAGCAGCCAATCTGAGATCAATTGTCCGAAAGTCCAAGGGACGAGATACCATAGCTGGATAGCCAAGAATCCCTTCATCATCATTATCATTAGGATTCAAGATTATCCTAGCCAGCAGATTGCAGAAAATTTTATCTTTATCCAGAGCAGCAGCTCGACGGAGCACAATACGACATTGTTTAGTGATCAAATCAGCCAGATTGGTCTTAACCCTAACCTTCTCTTTCTGCTCAACCTTTTGCTCTGGATTTTCTTTCCCCAGATTTTCAAGCACCGATATAACTGCTCTCTGCATTCAATAAGTGAGAAGTGACGTTCACCCAAATGCACTGCTCTTTTAAGAAACATTCATGATAATTTCTTTCTCGCTCATTTTATTTATTTAAAGGAGCTGGAAAACTTCAAGTATAACAGAGGCATTACCTTAGTTGGTCCCGATGCATTACCCTTGTAAACTGACTTGCTGATAGAGTGTTCCAATATCTTCTTAGCCCATTCAGGAGGATTCTTCTCCAAAGCTTCATTGATACACCTCCTGATCCGGGCTCCAACATTTGTGGGCAACTTTCTCACAGGTTCAAGCACCTGAGCCCACTCAGGAATGACACCATCGTTCACCTCAACGGTTTGCGCACCTTCCATATCAGACTCTCTCTCACAAACAGTAACAACCTCACTTTTACCCTTCGTTGGACCAAATATCTCCTTCATAGCATCAGCAAGAACCTGCAAATCAGATGCATTCTCACTTAACTGATTAAAAAAAAAAAAAAGNGTACGAATCTGCTAAATGTTATACAAACAATGAGACTCTTATAGATACCCCTTCAGGTAAGGACTATCAGTAAGTCATGGAAAAATCATGATCGCAAAAAAAAAAAAATCTCAAAATGCAGCCATGATCTCTACAACTATTGCATAGTATGATGAAACAAATGGAAAATACACTTGAAACCAAATTTTCTGCATCCAACTAAACACAACATTAATTGGGTAAATAGACAAAAATAACGGACAGAAATCCTACCACTGCATCTCCTTCAAGTGCAGCTACCCCCGTAAGGGACCCACAAAGAATTCCACCATCACCACGTAGGCAATGGAAAACTTTTCCGCTTTCACGGCTAGCAATCTCAGTAGAGTCGAGATTACCATCCAGACACAACACAGCCAAAATGTATCTACGCGCAACTTCATGCCAAGTCAATCCATTGACAGGCAGCATATCAAGTTTTGATCTCTTTAAAGCAGCCAAACAATCCAAATCCTTCTTTCTGCCTCGTCTCGATTTGGACTCTCCAGCATCAAAATTTGGACATACATACACAGCAGCTTTTGACAAAAGCTCACTAACAAGCAGCTTAAGCAGAGAGGCAACAATCTTTGCATAAAGACAACCAGCATTTCCACCAAGACTAGCCTCTCCATCTTCAGAGGCTTTATCATCACGTTGTCCAGCTTTATTTATTGTATTTAACCGTAAGCTGTCTAACCAAGGGCTTACAAGTTCAGATTCAAGTTCTTGCAGAGAAAAAGGTGGTCCAAGCTCTAACACCTCAAGGAAACGCCAGGCAAGCTCCCAAACCTGATGATAAATACAGAACAAGTTAAGCTAGCAAGTAGGGCATAGAATGAGTTTTAATATCAAACAAGAAAATGTTTCACAGCACCTGCAGAGCATCTCCCATCAAGTACGAAGGAAGCCGCGAGTTAAGTGGCTTGCCAGTAGGACAGGGATCCCGCTTAAAAGTGCTTCCTGTGCAATATAATTTAGCATTCTTTGAACTTCCAGAGACATTTTTCCTTTCGGCCTGCAAAAACCCACTTCCAACTGTTTGCAGGCCTGTACTTTGCGTTCTATCGTTCAGACATTTATACTCCGAGCACACAGTAGCTCCAGGAAGTCGTTCAAGTATCTCTTGGACAAAATCAGCATCTAGTCCAAATCTGTCCTGGTTCAACCACGTCAAGAGCATTTGACAAGCCATGTTAAACTCGTTTTCATTCTGAACCAGAGGAGGTATGCTGATAAGAGTGTCAATATAGCAATATCTCAACAAAGCATCACCAATATCCAGGTTTACAACCTTCATGCCATGAACATCATGGCTGCAGAAAAACTTAACCGCCCCCTTTTGCTTATACATCTCCTGAAAAGCATACAAAAAGGCCTGAGAGACCATTTCCCACACATAGGATGTTGATCTGCCCTCGACTTGAAATTCCCCAATGACATCACTCAAGTCTACAGCATCATCAGCTAAATTTCCCATTCTCTGAGGAAGGAATTCCAAACCTGAGTTTGAAGAATTGCCTTCCCGAGAAATATGAGCCTCATTTCCCCTTTTTGAAGTAGAGAGACAAGTCTCCAGGCATGGCGGGCTATCTTCATTTAGCAGGGTTATTGTGGATAAGCTATCATCATCCAACACTTCTGGTGAGGCTAAATCTCCTTTCCCCACTGTGACATCTGCTTTGCTGGAAGCTTGCTTTCCCTTTGAGAGGATAGTTGAGCCAACTGGAATGGGCTGCTTCGTGCAGGGATATCTCTGAACCCTGAAAATGGGGCCATCAACACCCCCATCTGCAACATCACATACAAACAGAGAACCAGTTATCTTGTCATGCCAGCTAGATCTATAACCAATAGGCCAGATTTGATCACTATTGTGGTATGCTGGTCGTGGATCAATATTCCCAGCTGATAAGAGACAAAAATCCTGAAACTGAATAGGGTAGCCATCCTGAAAAAAAAAAAGAAAGAAAACCAATTCAAACCAATAGTAAATACAGAGTCACACAGACATGTATCTGACATCAAAACATATTCCGCTAAAGCCTGGTAAAATGAGTCAATTAATATAGTAAGCATGCCAAAAAGCTGAAGTATAGTTCATTGCCATATGGAGTTTATGCCACCAGAACTTGCTTCTGATATGACAAGAGCATAAAGTTGAAAAAAAGAATGGCAACTTGCAAGAAATGGAAACAGGAGAACTTGGCAGAAATACCAAATGTAGATAATTACAAAGGGTGGTTTTAACTTTTATGCTGTAGGCACTTGAATTCCTCTTTGTTTATAATGGTGGCATTTAAATCATAGGGACACATCATCAAAAGAAAATATTTTTTTTTTTTAAGAAATACTTTACTTTTAAGGTAAGGTGAACAAGGGCAGTATTTGTAAAATAAAGTTTGTCTAAGCACACACTTACATTAATACCAATGATCAATGAGCCAGATAATACACCCTGTTCGTCACCTCCCCTCGATACCTTCTGTCTTCTTCTCCAGCTCTGCGCTGCCACAAAAGCTGGGGCTTCCTTCCTTGAAGGATCAAATTTGGATCCACCCTGGGTAAAAAGAAATAAGTTACTGCCGCCGTTCTCAGCCTCTCTATCTTGATACCGCACGGGTAATCGTAAATGGCAAGCAACATCCTCCTTTGACCTCAACCTCCTTCCATCAGGTGCAATATAGACAGGAGAGGTTTTGAAACGTTTGTTGCAGAATTCAAATTCAACACGCCAACCTTCGCCTAGAACACCTGATCTTTCAGCAATATACTCCCTAAGAGTTTGTAGGTACACCATGGTTGGACTATTAGGAAGAAGTTCAAAAGGAATCGCTCGATTGGGTCCAAGTCCCCTATCTAAATTGTGAAATCCAGGATTAGTGGATTTTGTCGCAACAGATAATGTCTTTGGAAGATATCGACCGAGATCCTCCAGGACAGGATTTATCTGTCTTCTGGTGGCACGATGACTAGAGGAACCCTGTATTCTGCAAAATTGGAAAAACATGTAAGAGAAAAAAATTGAAAGAGAAAAAAATATTAATAATTTGTTAAGCACAAGCACGAAGCGAACTTGCAGAGATCATTAAATTTTGCAATGGCCTGAAAACCCATCACAAAAGAATACAAATGGTAATAGATTCGCAACACCATTGAAGGGAAAATCACATCATAGCAAGCAAAAGAACTCCATGTTTGATAGGTAACAGTTCAAAACTGGGGAATACCGTAGCAAGCTAAGCATTCATTTCTTAAGAGAAAACAGATTCGCGAATTTATTTTTCAACTGAAAATGCATTCAAGTATTTATTTCTAATCGAAAATGTATTTACTTTTCGATGGAAATTACCCTAGCAAGAGAAAATATTTCTAGAAATGGAAAATGTTAAGCTGTTCTTGCTCTCGCTCTCTCTATCTATCTCTCCCTGTATGTCTCTCTTACCACTCTCTTCTTATTCCTTATTGGAGAGGTGGGGCCAATATTAAGTAAATTGAAGAGGGCGGCAACTTTGATGGATGATAATTATGGCTTGCAAAAGATCATGGAAATTACCCCAAAAAAAATTAGAACTGTAATAAAATTTTTTAAAAAAAAATCACTAGCATGACTTTAACCAAAACTGGGCCCTACAAATGTAACCATAGCACATCTTACAAAAGGAAAAGAGGAAAGAGAATAAATTAAGACCAGCAACATTATGCCGTAGGCATCGAAAAAAACAAGAAAAAAGCAGGAATGGCATCAATTTTACAATGTCAAATTCAGGAAAAACTTATAGAACAATAAGGAGATGATAATCTACTAAAATAAGCACATGATTGCAAAAATCTCTTGCTATTCCAATCAGCTATACCACTGAATCAGCAAAGCGGTTGACGACAGTATGCTTTAACATATATTCACCATGAATAAAAATTTTGATCAAGGGAGAAAAGTTAGAATCTTAAACATTTTTATTGTTTTACTTTTAATTTAGTTAATGTCAGCAATGCCTACCAGAGAAATCAAAATTGCCCCATTACATGTAATTATCAGGAAAGAAGTTAAAATCATTCAATTAAATGAGAACATTGCTTGGATCAGAGCCAAATGGGCATATGAGATGCCTATTTGGTCAGGTGAGATAAGTATGTCCTGCTAAGATTCAAGAATAATCAATGTGAATCATGAAATGCTAAAGCTGAAACAAGTACAGACCTCTAACTTCCTACAATAACGATGCTTACTATTTCATGATGCAAATGTATTCACATTCATAATAAATCAGGCAAGTCCCAATAGGTGAGTGTACGCTTTATCCAAAACAGGTGTATTATTTATATGAGAAAATTGGTATAATTGTATATTACCTTAAAGTAACACATAAGTTAATGGAAGAGTAGATTTCCTCTGGTTAATAGTAGTTCTTATGATGTTACATTTATAGTCTGCCGTTAAAAATGGCATCTAAATATTTTGAACATATGGTCTTTGGCTGCCGACTACATTTAAGTGACTGAAATAAGCGATTCAACTTATTATGAATATTAAAAGAAAAACTTTTAAAGAGCACATAAACCTATGCCCCACTGAGATTATAAATAACATTTTATTATCTTGGCTCAGCTCCAATCTTTGTAATGTGATCTGTTGAGAAAAAGGAAAATTGGGCTTCCTATCAAATTTTTTAAATTTAATGGCCAACATCTTTCCACTCAAAGCAACACATAAATGATTAATCAATATGAGGCCCGGTTAAGGCAAGTTTACGGCCCAAAAGTTTCGCAAAGACCAGCCCAAGTTCAGAATCACTAAAGAAACCCTACATATAAACGGGGACAACGATGGCGGCGCTACACGCCATCACCAACTCTATAAATAAAGTAGTACATCACAAAACCTCTCACACCTCTCATTCTCCATTTTCCTTCTCCCTTTCTCCAACAGCAATGCCAACTGAAAAGTGACCAAAAGCGTAAGTTTTTTTTTTTTTTTCTTTTTATTTCTACTTCATTAGCTTTCTACGATAGCTAGATCTGAATACAATTGCAAAGGCTAACCTGACAGGTGAACAAAAATGTGATTTAACTTTTTCTGGGCTTTTGCAAGATGCAATGTGCAACCGAAACTCCAATGTAGATACATATGCATGTATATGTTTATGTATGTGTGTATGTTTGTTTCAATTAGTTTTGAGATGAAGCCATATGCAGAAGCAGGATGTAAAAGATGAGTCAAAAAGGTAATTCTTTCTCCTATTTTGCTTTACTTCATTTTGGTCCTCTTCTACATCTTTGAGTGTGTGTGTGTGTGTGTGTGTAAATTCTTTCATAAAATGCTTACACATGTTGCAAGGAAATACTGGGGAAAAACAATCAGCTATAAATTTCACAGATCCAAATCGCTTTGAACTAGTGTCTTCCTCATCCATCAGCAATTTCTTTCATTCAGTGGTGCCTTTCTCAAGGTAAATGCATCTAATAATTTTCATGTTTCACTTGATGCTTATTACAGGATATAAGTTAAAACAAATCACCTTTTTTTTTCCTGCTGTCTTTTATTAAGAGAGCCATAACCTTTGAGATATAAGATTTCAAAGCACACAAACCAACTCAGGAACACAAAAAAATAATGATGGAACAAACAAAACTTTTGGGCCAACAAGCAAGCATACTTGAACTACTGCATGCATATAGAAGAATCTTATTAAAAAATATCTCTCATATCAACCAACATAAACTTTAAAGAAATAAACTTTGAAGACACTAAGTGAGTAACGAATAGAAAAGGGAGGCAAACAAGCAATCAAAGAAAGTTCCACCAGATATTAGTAATAACTGAAAAAAATGACGTTCAGATCACACATATAAACCAAAAGGGGAAAAATTTAGAAAATCAGCTTCAATTAGAAAAAAAAAAAGGGACAGATTACAAACATTGGGTTCGAATTGCCCAACGAAAGTAATTAGAAAAAGTAAATCTCGTACTTGCCACCACCATTCCCACCACGGCCGACCCCAACTGCGACATCACCGCCATCCTCTGCCTCACGCGGTGGCGAGGCGTTGATGTCGAAACGGCCCGCCCCACCTCCGGCACCGCTACTTCCCGTGCCGTTGTTCTTCAGCAAGCAGCGGAAGCACTTGAAATCCCGCCGCTGCTCCTCCGTCGGCCTGTCGGGGATCCTCCCAACTGGAACTCCCTTGCGGCAAACCGTACAGATTGAGACATTAGCAGCCCCCAAATCGGCGCCGTCACCCGCCTCACGCGGAGACGGTATCGGCGCCTGATTCAGGTCTATTGGCAACGCCATTCTGGCGCTGCCCCTCCTAATGCTGCACTCAGAATCCATTTATTAAAGATTATTCACAACAACACTTAAATCAACAGCTCTAGTGAGAAAAATAAAATTAAAAATTCGCTTAAAGAAAAAGATGGGCAGATGAAAAATTGGACGGCCAAGAACATGTTGGGGGCGAAAATAACGAGAATTGGAGTGTGTGAATGGGTTTTCGAATGTATAACAGGTTTGGTGAAAGCGGACAATTAGCAGTAAGTGATGACGAACGAATTTGTTAGGTAGACATAAAATTTCAGAGTTGTAACGTAAGAAGGGTGCGAGAGAGAGAGAGAGAGCGAGAGGTGTTAACGAGGACGAAAGAGAGTAACTAAAAAGAGAAGTCTGTTTGTTTGTTTGTCTTTGAATTGAGAATTTAGAGTCTAGAGAGAGTGTGTGTGTGTGGCGCGGGGTTCTCATAAAATTGGTGTAGAGAGAGCAGCCGGGCGGGGAAGGAGAGGGTAGTACTTAGTACTTAGTAGGGTTTGGGATGACAAAATTAGCCTTGTTTTAGTTCAGGGGTAATTTCGATTTGACGGGATTATCCTTGGTTTTTGCNATATAAACTCAAATATAGGAATTTACAATAAATTGTGAGGATTTGGTATCAATTCATATGTTAGCCGTGCCATAACCTTTTAGATAATCTCTACTATTTAAATATTTGAATATCATATAAAAAAAATGTACAAAATTGGATATAGTAAATTTTGTTTTTGTTCTTAAAGTATGATAGATTGATCAGTCTAACAATTAGATTGTTTTGCAACTAATGACTTGGCAACTATTAGAATTTTAAATGTGAAAACTTTGGTTCATTTGTCAATTTGTATCTTTTCAATAAATTATGGTAGATAATCGTTTATCTTGTGATTCATCGTTTTACACTTACAGTCTAAGGTGAGTATGAGCTAAACATTTTTGCATGTTACGCAAAATGGTTGAACTTATTAATATTATATATTAATAACTTTGATTAAATATTTTTTTTAGTAATACAACCAAAAAATATTACTTTTCCATACAAGCTTAACTAATTATACACTTTTATCCAAAAATACGAAATAAATTAATGGGTATTCCAACTAGACATCGCCAATACATCTTGACGGCAGCCACCACCTCGTGAAGTGCACGACCCCATTAAAATTTTAAGTAGGTCTTTGAGGTATCATGTACGTCAATAATGTTCGGATAACAACCCGAGGATTTGAGGTTGATCAGAAGTTGAAAGATAGTCGTTCAAATCAACCATTGAGAATGATTTTTGTATCAACAAAATTTATCAAGTAAGTGAGTGGGTTATTCGGCCGAGGCCACTTTTTACTTTAATGGAAGGTCGCTAAGCGACCTATTAAATGATACTCGCTAAGATTACTTTTACAACATTTGAGATCCCGGGATTTGTGGGATTAGTTTCTAAATATATGTTCACTTGCACATGGTAACTATGTGATATACAAACAAATAGGATTACACTAAAAAAAACTATACTCTCAGATTCTGAATTTGTTATCTTCATGAAACTAGGGTAAATAATGATTTGCAACATGTACTATACGCGAATTTGGGATTTGCAACCTAAAGATTTTTTTGTACAAAATTGCAACCTTTAATACACGATTTGTCTATATCGCAACCTCCGGTCATCGACGGCCCATTTTCCACCGGAAAAGCGAGCGTGTTATACACACGTACCAAATGTGAGGGCAAAATGACATTTCATCTATCTTTCTCCTTCATCTTGTCATAGTTCAATCTTGCGCGCAGACAATCAATCTTTCTCCTTCATCTTGCGCCACAGTTCTATCTTTCTCCTTCATCTTGAGCGCAGACAATCAATAAACAGAAGATAAACCCTAAATCAGTGACACAGTTCACAAGCCGAGTCTCTCCGCAGAAGCCATGGGAATTTCCTTTCTTTTACAAGTATGGGAAGAAGAAAGTTGATTCGACTTCAATCTGGACGGACTTGTTGAAATTGCCTCAGATCTGAAGAAGAAGAGCAATCCAAATTTCAAGAAATGTGTTTGAAATTTCTCTTCGCTATGTTCGGCTTCTTCCTTGCAACCCCCACTTTTCCGTTTATTTATTATTTTATTTTTTTTTTTTGTAATTATCAATGCCGAGTAAGTATGGATTTGCTGTGAGCAGACAATAGCTAAAGCAGTCGGAGATTGGTATTACGACCGGAGTCTATTTCGGGGTACCGATTGCCAGTAACCTTGCGACAAAACGTGCTACAATCAGACTTTTGAGCCTTCAGAAATGTAATTTCAATACTGTGCAAAATGAAGAGATTGCTGGTAGTATACAAAATGCAGGAAATAAAATAAGTGCTCAAATATGAATTATCAAAGGTTTTAAATAAACAGTATGAAAAAATAGTAATGAAATAAGGTCCAATAAGTGGTATCCTCCACATGAATAAATGAATAAATGGCTTTTTATGATATCATATGTTTTTCCTGTTTCAGTGTGCATTTCATTTCTGAATGATGAATTTCATGTCTAATTCTCTTTGGGTGTGTGAGAGTGTGTGAGAGAGGGAGGATGAAAGAGGAAGGAGAAATCGTGTATTAAAGGTTGCAATTTATTACAAAAAATTCTTTAGGTTGCAAATCCCAAATTCACGTATAGTACAGGTTGCAAATTATTATTTACCCATGAAACTATCATTCAAATCACAGACTTTTCATCATAGTAGTTACGCGCGAGAACATTTTGGCACTTTTGCAGGTGACTGGTGCATTTTACTTATACAATCATTTTGTGTATGATACTCATCAAGTTGATAAAGTCACATGACTAGTTGCATTCAGAGTTATCTTCAATCAGAGACTATTAGAAGAACTCAACATGCTTTCGGTTAATATGATAACCGTATTATATTTTATAATATTTGGTCACTATAACTCAAACAATGAATGAAGGGCTGGTAGCACAAGTGGAGGAGGATGAAAGCAGAAAGGCTTTATTCAGTATGAGCCCAGAAAAGGCACCTGGTGATGATGGAATGTCTGCACTCTTTTTCCAGCAATTTTTGCCATTAGTCAAGGGTGATTTATGTATTGCAAAATGAAGTTTTTTCTGTCAAGGAAGTTATTGAGGTATTGGAATCACACTCTAATAACATTAATTCTTAAATGCTTAAACCCTGAATCTTTGAGTCATTTTAGACCTATAAGTCTGTGTGGGGCTGTTTACAAGATAATTCTAAAGATTTTTCCCAGTAGATTAAAGGTTTGCCTAAGTGCGTGTGTGAGTGAATTCCAATCTGCTTTTATACTCGGCAGACAATTAATGGATAATGTGATTTTGGCTTAAGAGGATTTTCACTTTCTAAATAGACACAGATCATGAAAGAATTGTCTTATGGCTGTGGCTGTTAAACTGGACATGATGGATGCCTATAATCGAATTGAATGGGACTCCATTAGATTGGTCATGCTAATGATGCATTTTCACACTAGATTTGCAATTGGATCATGGGGATGTATAACTTTAACATCTTTATTTTTTAATCTGAATGGGACTGTGTTGCCTGGTTTGTCCTTCAAGGAGAATGAGATAGAAAGATCTCATATCCTCTTACCTCTTTATTTTGGTGGCTAAAGTATTTTCTTCTATGATTAAGTTTGAATCAGGAATATGAGGCTTGAAGGGGTTAAAAATTTCAAGAAAGGGTCTTGTTTTATATCACTTATTGTTTGGTGATGATTCTTTGCTTTTTTGTAAGGCTGATTCTAATCAGGCCTTCCAATTACTCTATATTCGTGACAAGTATCAGTCATTTTATGGACAAAATTGGACAATTATTCAGTTTTCTTTAGCAAATATACCATGAGCAGGATCAGTTGTCTATTTATAGAATTCTGGAAGGGATTAAAGTTCACAGATCATCCAAATACCTAGGGCTACCTCCAGGAATATGGAAGTATAAAAATGAAGCATTTAACTTCGTTCTAGAAGCAATAAGAAATAGAATAATCAGCTGGAACAACAAATTTTATCTACAACAAGAAAAAAAGTCTTAATTAAGGCAATTCTTAATGCTTTACTAGTGTTTGTGATGTCTTGTTTTACATTGTCTCGATTTTTGTGTAAGGAGATTTCCAGCTTTTGTGCTCAGTTTTTGTGGTCTAAAGGAAAAGAACAAAACAGAGGAATACCTTGGAAATCATGCAGCTTTTATCTATGCCTAAGGAGATGGAGGTCTTGGGTTTTAAGACATAAACTTTTCAACGATTCTGTAATCATGAATCAGCTTTGGAGGTGGTGACTATGCCTGAGCTTCTGATGAGTAAAGTACATAAAAATAGGTATTTTCCATTAACAACCTTCTTGAGGCTTAGAAGAAACATGGTGGGTCTCGGATCTGGAACAACTGGATGGATGCCAAACATATGCTTGAAAAAGGGATCCATATTCAGATTAGGAGTGGCGGAAACACCAAGATATTGGAGTATAGTTGAGTGCAAAATCTAATGGCAACAAACTCGAATACAAAGCAAGAGTTCAGCGTGTTTAGCATTGGTTTATGATCTTTTGATGACTGAGGGAAGAAATATAATAGAGGGCCGATCAAAAAACTTTTTGATGAGGAACAATCTGAGGCAATCTTGAGGATAAAAACATTGAAGCCTGAGGGGGAAGACTTGTGGATTTGGAGACTTGAAAGTAAAGAAAAGTTCTCAATTGCTTCAACATATGAACAACTCATTGTGGATAAAGCACATCAATTGGATAGGCCTGAAGGGAGTGGGACAAGCCAAGAAGACAAAGAAGCAAGACACATAACTTGGAGGATGAGGGTGAAGGGGAAGATCAAACACTGAATTTGGAAGCGTTTTCAAGGGCTTTGCCAGTAAGTCTGAATTTGAAAAAAGGAAAGGATTAAGGTGGACCTTATTTGCAAGAATTGTGGTGAAGAAGAGGAGTCAGTGAAGCATCTCTTCTGGAACTACAGGAAAGCCCGTCGAGTTTTGGATATTCCATTAAAGTGTCATGGGATCCATATTGATAGTTTTACTTTCACTAACTGGTGGTGGAAGCTCTGTTCCCTAGGCTTCAAGGAAATTAATGAGTCCAAAATACATGTTTCTACATATTTACTTTAGTGGTTGTGAAAATCCCGCAACCTTTGGGTATTTCAAAAGACTTGGATTTCGGAGTACTATATTGTGAAGAATGTGGTGCAAGAGTGGAAAGAGTTCTACTCTGTCAAGGAAGGTATGGCGATTTGATGGTAAAAATGATCAAACTAGGTCTTTAGACAGTGGTTTGGTCCTTTTTTAGCTTTAGCTTTTTATTTGGTTACTCTAATTTTCTCATATTTTCAAATTATACCGGTATAATATTTTTATAGTTTATTTTTAGTTTATTGATTATTTAAAAAAACTTACCTTAAAAGTTTATTTGTTACCTTTCCATATGTAGTCATCAATCTTTTTTCAATAACTTTGATTTTGCACTAACATTTAATAAAATATAGTAATGTTTATTTATCAATACCAATATAAACTAATGAATACCCTAAAATTTTTTATAAAATAAATTATAAATACATATTAAGTGTAAAAAATGACTTAATTAAATTTTTTTATTAATTAAATATTCTATATGTTGAGGAAAATGACTTAATTAAATAAATATATAAAAAAATATTAAAATACAAAATAAAATATTTACCATGATAAAATCTGATAAAATATTTACCATGATAAAAGTTACTAAAAATTAAAATTTAATTATCATAAGTTAGTATTTCATGCAATTAGAGTGATTATAAATAAAATTTAATTTTTTATGTATAAAATGTTGGTCAGTTATCGAGCAATATGCAAAATATGAATTGCTAAAAAAATTATAAGATTAATATAATCGATAATTATAGAAGTACATGCAAGTAATTGGTATACAATTATTATATTTTAAATCTTACACTTTCATAATATTTTATAAACTAATAACTAATTAAATTCATACCTACAAAAATAAACTGGAAAAAATAAAAAATAAATTATTTAATTAATATTATATTATCATAGACTTGATATGTTGTGTCGAATAAAATTGACACAGTATCTTAACTAATTTAATAATATTTAATAAAAATATTTTTTTATATTATATCCCTTGCATCGCACGGGTAACAACGCTAGTTATAAATAATGTAGTGATGATTGTCCTGCTATTTTTTTGGTCTGTGGAAGAAAATGACCATTTGAGCAAATACAGTAGTTGAGTAAATGTATGAGTTTTTTTTTTTTGGGAATAAAGGATTACAATTTTAGTTAATTTTATATACTAAATAATCAATAGTTTGCTCAATGCTTAATCTAATAGTTCAATCGGTTGGTCAAATCTACTAATTTTATCCAAATTTGTTAAATGCCTATACAAACTGTATAAATTTCAATTTGAAAAATAGTTCTATACCACAATGAGTTATAGTCATCTAACACTTAGGACACGGTTATATGAGAGAATGATATGAGAATGAAATGATTATTCTCTTGCTCATTTCTAATCTATTGATTGGTATATTTTTTTTTTTTAAAGGAATGACCATTTCAAAGAAATTATAAAAACCATCTTTATGGAATTATCCATTTCATAGCTAATGCAATGTTTTTTATTCCCATATTTGTATGAATCAATTTTTTAAACAATAAAATTAACAAGTACTAATAAAAAATAAATATATAATATATACTATAAATTACGATTAAATTATATTAAATAAAATTATTTTAAAAAATATTTTCAAATAAAAAATTTAAAAAATTATTTTTATTTATTGTTTATATTTAATTAAATATATTAAATACTTATATAAAAATAAATCTAAAAAATACATTAATAAATAATTCAAAAATATATTATTTTATTTTTATACATCATTTATATTATATATTTATTCATAAATTGAATTATAATATACAAAATTATATTCGACCACATATGCTCATAGGGTTTATGTAATGATATATTTTGTGTAATGATATATTACACAAAAATATTTATGTAATGATATCTATACTTATATAATAAGAATTAACATTTATTCAAAATAGTAGGTCATAGTAGGTCAAATTATGGTCAATGTCGAATTTGCATTAAATATTTCTAAAACCGGTAAGTTTTTGTCCTTTTCACACTTCTCATTTTTATGTCCTTTTCACACATCTAATTAAATCATTCCATATGAGCTTTTATCGTTAAAATATATAGCGATATGTTATGACCTTATCTTATTGATATTTCCGTAAGCGTCTTTATTGCGTTCTATTTTTTGGTAACCACTCTATATCAATAACCGGATATTTGGTTAATGATCGCACACGTTTTTATTTCAAGGAGCGGATATTCTTTGACCTTTAATTAATATGAACTGATTGCCTTGACTTTTCAAATTTTAAAAACTCTTTTTTTATCGCACGTTGGTCTTTTCCTGAAGAAACCCGTTTTTAGTCACGACCAATTATATGTTGCTACTTCGCGTGTAAATAATAGAAGGGAGTTGAAAATATTAGTTTGTGATAATGAGGAGTTACCAAATAATCAAACTCATAATGTTGTGTATAAGAAGGTTTTTAATAATTTATGATTGTTACCGAACTTTTTATGATTCAACAATGTTCCTATGTATTTTAATGATTTCAATTTCGATCCTAATGCACGTGAGATTATATTATTCTTTCAAATTTTACATCCCGTGCATCGCACGGGTTACGTACTAGTTTAAATTATAAACCATGACTATGAGTGCGTAGTTGCTAAAAATCCAATAAAATTCGAAATTCAAAATTCAAAACTCATTTAGCTCATGCAATTAAAGTAGTTGAGTTGTATTTGGGGATGTAATCGAATTAAAGTAATGGTAATTCTATCAATAAAACAAGGGATTTTGTAGCAAGAAAGAAGAGTAAAATTCAATTTTGTCCTTAATGTAGTAATTATCCTACCAGCAATTGACTTTTTTGTTTTTCCATATGAGGAACAAAAAAAGTTAGTAAATGCAGTTGTGAAAACAGAAAAATGAACGAAGCACAGTTGTAATTTTGTATGGAGCGGATAAGCTCACATTTAATGAATGGAAAAGAAAAAAATTAAAAGCAAAATCCCAAAGGGGTATAAAGGGTAAAGAGGTAACTTCGCAATTTAGTCGGCCGCGGCCCCTCGGCATGCTTGCCTGGTGTCTGCTGAACGTGCTTTTTGGCGTGGGCAAAGACGAGGTATGAACACGCGCCTACAAGCGCGTACAAGAAAGGGATTCACACAACTCGCGCCGATGTGGGGCGCATTGGAATTGTACGGTACAAGTGAGTAGCGCAAAGCCCAGCTCACATGTTCAAAGTCGAGAGATTTTATTCTATAATTGGTTTCATGTACCTTAACTGCTTTGGATGTACTCTTCACCTATGTTTTCTTTTGACTTTCCTTCAGTCTATGAGCACAATAGCACATCAACCCCTGTATAGTATTCTATACATACTATACAGAGCTAATACTACTTTTTTTTATATATATAAAATTTGAAATAACATATAGAATTTAATTTTATTTTTATTCGTTCCATACAATTAAATTAACTGAATATAGATGTAACTGAATTTGTTGAGTGGCATTTTAAAAATTTTTAAATTCAATACTTTTTAAACTTGTTAATTTTAGTGCAATAAGATGCTTGGATATAAAAAATTTTGGATTTGTTTGGATTTTTGGGTTTGGTTTGGTTAATTTGAAAAAGGTGGTATGGTTAGATGTTAGTGGGTATATTAAAATAATATTTAAAATAAAATAATTAAAGTTGGTTTGATGTAAAAGTATGAGAGAAATAATTTGAAGTGATGGTTAGTTAAAATTATGTGAGTGGATGAATAGTGATTAATGTGATGTGATGTGTAAGAATGATTGATTGATAATATATAATTATATTAATAATATTATTGATAGTTTGGTTGAATTAAAGTTGAGTTAAAAAAAAGTAATTGAATTAAAATGTTTGGATTTTTTGGATAAATTTTGTATCCAAACATCCTCAATCTTAAGCTTAAAAGTGAGATATTGTGGTGAAATTTGACAAATATAATTTGTGTTTGAAGTCTCTAACAATTTTTAAAAAGTCATAACACATTTTAGTATTTAAATAAATTAAATGCCCATGAATTTATACGATTTTTATAAAATTTCAATTGAATACTTTAAAGGTTTTAAAAGTCTAAGTTAAATAGATTAATACTTCTAAAGATACATGATTATAGAATTAGGCCTAATTTTTCGTTCTCTTTTTCCCAAATCCGTCGTCCTCCGTCTTTATCCTAGGCTGCTCGCGCGCCTTCCTCAGCGGCTAGCCGAGCCTTTGCTGGCCGTCGGCCCATGGCCGTACGACCGTGGCCCCGATTTTTTCGATTTTTCGCTTTTCCTTGTCCATTTGCGCAAGTGGTTGCGGGCGATAGAACTTTATTTAATCAAACATGAAATCTCATTCAACATAAATAGTGTGAATAACATCTAAAGCCAAACTTTCAGTATACATACTAACAATCTTCCACTTATATTTAAAGCTTATGATTTTCTAGTATACATCTTTCAATTCTTATTCTAAAAGACTTATGTCGATCTTGGAACCACACATTTGACTCTCATTCATTCCACGTGTCTTCCCCGATAGACAATTCGTGAAAGGATCAACTAGATTGTCCTCCGATGCAATCTTGGCAACCTTGACGTCTCATCTCCACACGATCTATCGTATTAGGTGGTATTTGCGCTCTATGTGTTTATTGGACTTGCGTGCTCATGGTTCCCTTGAGTTTGCTACTGCACCACTGTTATCACAATAAATTGTGACAGCCTGTGATAAACTAGAAATCAATTCTAAGTCCACCAAAAAGTTTCTGAGTCATATTGTCTCTTTCACTGCTTCATAAAGCTGCGACATACTCGACTTCCATGATGGAGTATGACACACATTTATGTTTGGCACTCCTCCATGAAATGGCTCCACCTCCCAGTGTAAACACATAACCTGAGGTAGATTTACTTTCGTACCGGTCTGACTAGAAGTCTGAATCGGTTTAACCCAGCTGTAGCAAGTTATCTGCACGATAAACTAACATGTACTCCTTAGTTCTTCTCAGGTACTTGAATATATGTTTCACCGCAGACCAATGTCCCGGGACTGGTCTATTTTGATATCTAGCCACTAAGCCTACGACGTAGCTAATATCGGGCCTTGTGCACAACATTGCATACATGAGGCTTCCAGCTGCAGAAGCATAAGAAGCTGCCTTCATGTAATCTATCTATTGAGGTGTCATATGCGACATCCCTTTAGACAGAGGTACTCCATGTCTAAAAGGTAACAACTCCTTCTTGGAGTTCTGCATGCTGAGTTTAGCCAAGACAGTATCTATATATGAAGATTGAGATAGACATAATATTCTTTTCTTACGGTCTCAAATGACCCTAGTAACAAGAATGTCCTGTCTCACCCAATTCCTTTATATCAACTGCTTAGACATTCATACCTTTACGTTCGATAATTCTCTCCTATTGTTTCCAATTAGAAGTATAACATTTACGTACAACATTTCTCGGAACGATCTAGGAAGATCTGAAAAACTCATCACCGACCTAAGCATTTCCATATGAGTTCTATTCTTTTGTTATGCTACCCCAAGCAACTAACTTCCCTTTTTTATTCTAATCTCATTCCGGTACGCCATGTAAGTTCCAAGTTTAGATAGGAGTTTGTCGATTTAATCGATTTAATGCCAACCCGAACATATTTTTACAATCTTCCCCATAGGCATATAAATCGAAAACTCCTAGACATGTACTTGCAAGAGACAAGTAGAACCATTGCATATGACAACAAATTTTGAGCTCTTAAAGTAATACATATTTGTTCGGTTGCATATAATCCAAATGGGAGATTGTTTGAAATATTTTATTTGGACAATATATGTAAATTAAATGTGTATAATTGTCATTAAATAGTTTAATTAAAGCGATCTGCTAAATTTATAATTTTAAATAAAGAGAGCATTAAATTATTGTGGATTTAAACGTGCAGATACCATTATGAGATTTTTGGTTTGTTGATGGACTAAACTGAAAATTAAAAGGATTATTTACCTGGTAATGACCTCAAATGATGGACAATGCTAACCACAGTGGGACAATTCTCTCGAATATTAGGCACATGCTTTTCAAGCTCATGATTTCTTTTCGAAATGATGTAAACAACTCTAACAATAGTATAGTCTAAAAAAATATTTTACAATGTAAAAATCCATGCTCTCTCAACTCGTACCCAATTAATTGTTATAATTGTTAGACATGATAATAGCATTTAGGCACTTAATTATTTGTAGCTGGGATCGTTCACCATTCTTTCCTCTGTTCAAGCTTAACCGGTTAAAGTGTTGTAACCCCTTCAAATAATAAAAATAATGTTTACACAAACTGAAGAGGTGACGTTCCTTTTCTCGGGGAAAAGAGACGTCACCATTTGAAAATGAATCATTAGCTTGAAAAGCATATGCCCGATATTCAGGAGAATTGTTCCATTCGATTCGCTCTGCCAAACACAAATCCATCATTGTTGTTTCGATTTCGTTCGACTTTAACTTTAGGTTCTCTAATGTTTTTTTTCTAGTAAGATTAAAAAAATAAATAATAAAAAGAACCAGAATCAGGAAAAAGCGACGGGTCGGTGGCCCGAAAGTTGAACCGACCCATAATTATATCCGGTCCGACTCCGGGATTAACTTTTGAGGCCCGATGATCCGGCAGGCCAGGCCGGGCGGGTCGTGAACCGGCCCGGGTGATGGCCACCCCTAGTTAGAACTACCCCGGTTAGGAAATAACCCGAGTATTTTTAACCTTAATTTAAAAAAATAAAAAATAATTTCTTTCAAATCTCTTGGTCTGTTTTCTTCTTTCTCCTCCTAAGTCCTAACTCAATTTTTCTTTGTTTTCTCTGCCCTCCCCTATATTTGTTTGCAGGTATTCTTCTTAAAGATAATGGTACTTACACTCGCTTTATTTTAGCTCAACAATCTTATTTATTTGCTTTCCTATCAATTATTATTAATTTATCTTCTAGTGAGTCGAAGCTACATTCACCTTGTGCATGCGTTATGTGCGATGACGATTAGTGTTGTGCATCTTCTTTCGATTCGGAACTATTAAGTTGTGGGAAAATATTAAAATTAGGGTTTTATAATAATGATATATGTGATTTAGCGCAGGTTCTTGACATTCTATGACTTTATATGAATTTGTCTATGCTTCTGTTAAAACAAAAAAGGGGAAGGAACGAAATGATGTTTTGAATCTGAGCAGTAATTATAGAGGTCTCCAGCATTCAACTTTTGTATTGGGGAATTATTGGTGCTTGTATTTGTGTTACTTTTAGTGTCCTTGACCACTGTAGGTTTTCTGAAGGTACCACTCCATGTTAATCCGGAAGTCTTATTTAGTTTTCATCAACACTATTTCTTTTGTGGAAGCACAGGTGAAATGCATCAATCAGAGTGATATGTCGAGTACTAAATTTTTTTGTTTGTTTGTTATCTTTGTCAAGATGTATTAATATTAGCTGGAGTCAACATATTTTTATTTGGGGGTATTTTGAAGTGTTTCTGATGGTTATTGTTTGTTATTCTTTTTTCCTTAATATCAGATATGCGAAAATAAGATATATTGTTGATGGTGTATTGGTCTGCGGACTATATTATGCACGATAACTGGTTTTCTTTCCATCAGATGTTACTATTTATTCACTAGGTGTTTCCACAATAATTTACGAATTGATATAACATGATTATCTTCGAAGCTAGCCCCTTCATTTTCGACTTGTTGTATTGTTCCTGAGCTTTTTNNGCCAATGCCATTTACATATCATACTTAATAATTTTTCCCTTGGTTTTAGGCAACCCTATATGACTCATTTTTGGCTGATCTTGATGAATTGTCTGATATTGAAGAACATCTGGTTAGACATTACAGTTTCTTCCCATGTCAGGGCTTTCCTGTTATGCTTGCACTTAAAATAAAATTATTACGTATTCAAATCCTCACTTGTTCTCATGTTTTGCCAATTCTTAATGTACACTTTTCACGCATCTGTTTTCTTTGTTACTATTTGGCCTATGGTCCATGGTTGACCACATTTACTCACTTCGAGGAAGGAGATGATGACGATGCGGAGCACATGGAGGATGATGTGGACGGTGACCTGGCAGACATCCAAGCACGTAATTATGAAGATCTTGACAGTGTCTCCAAGTTATAGAAAACTCAACGATAGACCAACATAATGCAGGTCGATTGAGTTCAAACAACTATATCTTATTTGACATCTCGTTTCAGTAAATAAATTGCTTAATGCCTAATCGTGTTTGCCTTCCACTCCTAGGGTGTTGTTCAGCTTGTCTTTTGGTAGAGTGAATAAAATGTGTTGTTTTGGATGTTTTTCAGGTATGCTGTCACGGACATGAGGAAGCTCGCGAATAGAATGCAGTTTGGAGTGCAAGAAGAGAGCTCTTTAGGTATTTTTTTTATTTGTCTTCTTTTGACTAATGTTTTCTGCTTCTTGTGCTGAGCATGTGGCCTCTGGTACCTTTCACTTTGATGACTCTTTCTTGGAGTCCTCTTTTCTTTTCCCGAGGTTTTCCACACGCTGGGGTTTTAAAACTAGGAAATTTCTAACGAGGCCTTAATATCAGCAAGCTGATTTGTCTTGTAATCAATTCTTAAGCTAACATATTGATTTGTTTGTACTTTTAGTTAGTCATTGATTTAAATCTTTATTATTTCTGAATATGTTTTATTTGTTCTTGAAGGTGATGGGCTGGGGGAAGGATATGGAATGCTTGGTCAAGCTAGAAATGGGAAGTTGCGTGTATCAGTTGGTCAGAGCAGGCTTGCTGCTAAAGTTGCCAAGAAGTATAATAACTTCTTCGCCTTGCTTATCCATTTTCTGATACGGATTCAATTCACTTTTGATGATAACCAACCAAAATTACTTAACCTTTGGAACTTCCACAATTTCTCGTGTAACGCAGCCCTAACGGTTGGGCGGGTCAACTCCTCATACTATTTGAACAAAATGCACTCTTATACTATTCAAATGTCATACTTCTATTTGTGTTGTTTCCTAAAGTATGACATTTTTTATTGAAAATATGCATATTTCTAAAAATAGTATGTCAGATCCTCCTAACAAAAGACCAACCGTGGAATTACATTATAGCTCTAGTTATATCATGAGATTTTTCCACTATTTTTTCCCCTACACAAGTGTGGATTGAAAATTTGTCCTTATGTCTTGATTATTGCCACCTGTATTTATCCTGCCACAGATTTCATTGATTCATTTTCTGATTGGAATTGGATTTTCAGATATAAGGACAGAAATTATGGAATCAGTGGTGCAACTTCTGGACTGACTTCGAGCCTGGCTTTCACGCCCGTGCAGGTTTGCTACTATTCTTTCACGTTGATATGGCTAGTTAGTTTTGAGGCTGTATGATCCAAAACAAAACATTTTTGGATATAAGAATTTTTCATATTTGTTTGTTCGATCAAAGTTTATCTAATTTTTATCTCATATCCATTCACGTTCTCAAATCCATCTCACTTTTCCTAAAAACAATTTTCTTCATATTTCCACCTCACTTCTTCCGGACGAGATAAAATTTCTTAGAAAAAATCATATCCAATTGTACTCGTCAAGAAAAACTTACCAAACATGATGGTATAGCTTAGTTTTTGGAATCTTGTTGTAGGGAATGCTGAGACACTCCACAAAATATAATATTTCAGTTCTATTTGAAAAAATTTAAAAATGCAAATTCTGGCTTCTTAGGGTTTGCTCTCACCTTTTTTTTTTTTTTTGNAGATCTCACCTACTATTAATATAGTAACAGTTTGCAAACCCCTGTAGTACTTGTTCATTCGTTATTTTGTTGGTATTTTTCTGTTCTTTATCTTTGTTCCAGTACTATTATGTGAAAGAATATGCTTTTTCAGGGGTCGAGCTTTCAAATCCCCAGGCAATCAGCTTGGTGGTGGAACAAGCACATACTTTTCAGAGACGGAACTTTTTCTAAAATCAAGAGAACTAGTACAACACCCATGTATTACATGGGTGGCGACGGTGCCTCGTTCATGGACGGATTCATAAAAGTGGGATGCGTATCCGGACAAGTCAAATCCAAGACCGTCTCGGTCGGCGCCTATCGTTACCATAAATAATCAACATATCTATATATATATAATAAGAATTAACATTTATCAAAAATAGTAAGTCAATCTTTGATCATAACAGATCAACATTAATTACATGCCATTTATAGTATATTTTTAATATATTTTTTACTAAAAAATGGACAACATTAAATGTTGTCCTTAAAATGAGGAGTTTGCTATTTTTTTATTTTCAAAAATGTGTGTTGCTATTTAAATTTGGTCTATTGAATATTTGCGATGGTTTAACATGATGTGCATATCAAAAACTGCTAATGCACGGGCTGCATCAATTAAATTTGGTTATTGGTTACAATAAGGTATTTTTAAATTTGAATAAAAATGTATGTCACGACTGCTAATTCAATTAACCATCGGCCAATTATATTCTCCAAATTTAAAACCAGATATTCAGCTAATACAATTGCTTTGCTTGACAGTTTTTTTTAACAAAAAAATTACGACTGATTTAATAATAAAAAAAATTATGTCTTATTTTTTCTAACCATAAAAATATGCTTTTGTATTTTCAAAATTTCGGAAATTTTTTTTTTCTATAAAATCGGCTAATACATATGTTTTGATTAGCAAATTTTATTTAAACAAAATTACGGCTAATTTAAGGGTAAAATTATAAAAATAAAATAAAAAAATTATTTGTTTATTTCTTTTGAAAATATTTTTTCTAACCATCGAATCGGGCAGTTTCAATTAAAAGAATTAAGTTGCGGCTATTCAATTATTTTGTTTGACAATTATTTATAAGAAAAAATAATACACGGGCCTAATTTTGAAACGATCAAAATTTTTATGGTCTTTGTTTAAATCAGATATTAGAAATAAGAATAATCACCATATTTAAATTGTTTTAATTGTAAAACGTGATGTATACAAGATTTAGATAGATTTATCACACATCATCCTCTAAATTAATGATTTTTTTTTTTTTTAAATTTCAAAATACCAAATCAAATTTTTTATGGTCTTTGTTTAAATCAGAGATTCAAAATATCTTAATCTCTATATTTAAATTGCTTTAATTGTAAAACGTGATGTATACAAGATTTAGATAGATTTATCACATATCATCCTCTAAATTAATTATTTTTTTTTTTAAATTTCAAAATACCAAATCAAATTTTTTATGGTCTTTGTTTAAATCAGAGATTTGAAATATCTTAATCTCTATATTTAAATTGCTTTAATTGTAAAACGTGATGTATACAAGATTTAGATAGATTTATCACATAACTCCCTTAAATTAATGATTTTATTTTTCTAGGTTTCAAAATACCAAATCCTAAAGTTGCGGCTGATTTAGTTATTAAACGATATTTTGCAATCATAGATTCGGGTTATCTTCAAATTCAAAATTTAAATTGCCGATATGTAGATAAATTTGGACAGATTAAATACATATGATCTAAAATGAAGGATTTTATTCCATTAAAAACATAAAATATGAACTTAAGATGTAGATTTTATTTTGCACGTGTGATAATACAAGATTACATGCTATAAAAGTCAAATTGTTTACCCGTGCATCGCACGGGCTACGCACTAGTCTATAGTAATATAAAGAGGTTATTGGAAAAATACAAAAATAGTAAGGTTGACCTAAAAAATAATGTTTTGACTTACTATTAATGGAAAGTTCAAAAAAATACATGTGAATTTTTAGTAACAAAATTTGAATCCTATTTTTTTGGTAACTAATTTGGAGATTTTTATGGCAAAATTTGAATTCTATTTTTTTCGTATTATATTTTATTTTTTTTACTAATATTTAAATCATATATTTTTTTGGTTACAAATTTGGAGATTCTTATGCAAAAAATGTGTCAATTATTTATAAAAAAATTCTAAATACAAATTAACTTAAAAACTGTACAACTTGGATACAAATTTTGGAAACAAATAGTTGTATAATTCTTAACCAATTCTTCCAATCTTATTGAATAATTGTTTTCTTTAAAAAAAAGTGAGTAAATTGGATAAAATCACGTGCAATTTTTATTTTAATAAAACTTATATTTGGACGGGATGCAAATTCAAAATTGTGTCCACATTTTTTGGTAACAAAAGTTGTTCATCTTTGATATATAAAAATTAAAAAAATCTTAAAATATTCTTAAATATTTAACTTATTTGAGATCAAGATTTGTTAGGTCTTTTTAAGATTAGTTATGATTTAAAAGAAAAAAAATTATATAAAATTTCACTCTAAATCTCACATTCACACTTAAGATTTCATAGTATTGCTTTAAAATTTGATCATCTTAAAAGTCTCAAATGTTAAAAAATCTCAAAGTGACACTCAAAATTCTAAACGAATACATATTATATATATTATTTAATATTATTTATCTGTGCATCGCACGAGCCACATACTAGTTATAGATAATTCGAACCCAAATATATTTGGATTAGAAGTAAACTAAATCTACCAAAACCTAATAACGAAACATGTATTTTTGCCATATAGGATCCCGAAGCATGCGAACCTGCCACATAGGCTCAGCACGTTCTCAATTAATATATAGGGAGGGATGTGACCAACCACAATCCATCTGAGACCTAAGTCCCCCGAGTGTGAGTACATTTGATCAATTTTATCTTCTTTTCGTCAAGTCATTTTACTGTGGTGAGTTGTAAATTGGTGACATTTTTATCATTGCTCTTGGATTTTAGTGGGAGGATAGTCATCCGCGCCATCATAGTATGTTTTTTATCACGAATAAATGCAATGTCTCTTGAATTAATTTGCTATTTTTGAAGTACAACTTGAGCAATAAAATATGTGTAAGATGAACTTGACCTGTGAAGAACATCATGATGAGTTCATTTCCCATCAAAATTTAGTGCTTCAAAATGTTGTCATGTCTCATGTACCCCATATGCTAAAATAACAATTCTCAATCGCTATTCACCGCCCCCCTTTTACTAGTCACCGCCCCCCCCAATTACTCTTTTGCCCTTAACCCTTTTTTTGATTTCATCTCTCTAAACTTTCTATCTCTCTAAACTTCCGAACTTCAACGAACGATTCGAGCGTAAAAAAAAATCCAAAAAAATGTCGAAAAAATTCTACGGCCTCGGCAAAGGATTCTTCTCCAACAAGGTAATTTTTTTTTTTTTTTTTGGCCGGAAGTATTTTTAAAAAATTTTTTTTTGAACCTGCCGAACCGGCCGGCCGTCGGTTCCGGCCGGTCCGGGTCCGTCCGGCCGTCGGTTCCGGACGGACCAAAGGTTGTCCGGTCGGCCGAACCGGCCGGCTTTTGGTCCGTCCGGAACCGACGGCCGGACGGACCCCGGCCGGTCGCGAGCCGGCCGGACAAAAATCAATTTTTTTTTTTTTTTTTTTTTT